TTTTGAGCCATGCCCAAGTGCACGGCCCACACCGCCTTGGCACCAAGCTTGTTGTGCCGAAGATGCTTAGGCACGAGCGCCATGCACATGCACCCGAACACCCGAAGCATATCCACCTTTGGCTTCCTTCCTAGCCACTCCATATAGGGCACCCATTTGTCTGCTCCCACATGAGTCAAGGCTCTGTTCTTGGCCACACACGCGCTCCGCACCGCATCAGGCCAGAAACAGTCGGGTAGCCCGGCTTCAATGAGCAACCCGCGTGCCGCCTCCGTGATTGTGCGGTTCGCTCGCTCGGCGATGCCGTTCATTGCAGGGGAGTATGGCATGGTGAGGGAGTGCCGAATACCATTCTTCTTCAACCACAACCCAAACTCCTTGCTCAGGAACTCTCCCCCTCGATCGGTGCGGATTGACTTGACTAGACGGTCTTGTTGCCGCTCCACCATCGGGAACCAATCCGTCTTCAACGTTTCAGCCACGTCGCTCTTCTTGGCCAGCACGTACACCCAAGTCATGCGGGTGTAGACGTCGACAATGGTGAGAAAATACTCAGCTCCAGCAGCTCCAAGCTTCAGGGGGCCCACCACGTCCATCACCACCTCATCAAGCGGTGCCTTTGCCGTTACCTCCGAACTAGGGAACGGAAACCGGGTGAACTTGGCTTGAATGCACGTCGGGCAGCCAAGCACCTCATCGGGCTCCCCCTTCACACGTATGCCAGCAACCATCTCATTCTTCACTAGCTGCTGCAAGATGGGCAGGGCCACATGCCCCATGCGCCGATGCAAGGTGAGCCAATCACACTCCCCCGTAGCCGAAGTTGGATTGGAGAATGCCGCGCTCGCAATAGCGCCCCACATACTCTCTCCGTAGTCCTCCTCCGCTGCTGCCTCTGGGTTCTCCTCACCCTTTTGCTGCTCCTTGGTTGCTGCACCACTCTCCTTAGGTTCACTGAACTTGCTGGTCCCTCCAGGTTTGCTCTTCTTGAGCTCATTCTCCTTAGCGCGACCGTTCGCGCCATCGTCGCTACCGACCGCTCCATCGTTGGTGCTGATGCTTGCTGCCACTTGCCTCTCCTTAGGCATAGGGACCACTGGGATCTGCCACATCTCGTTGTAGACATCCCTGTCCTCATGAAGGTCCCAAAGAATTCGATCGCCAAGCCTTGCGGTGTAGGTCTTGGCTCCCTTCGAGTTCGTGTCCATGCCGGCCTTTGCCAACCGCCGCACGGAAATCAGGTTTGCAGCAAGGCTAGGCACCCAAAGCACGTTCTTGAGGCCCACCATCTTCCCATCAGCACCCTTGAACATGGCCTTGCCCATGCCTTTCACCTCTGCTCGCTGCCCCAAAGCCGATGTGACATGCTTCACCGGTGACGGCTCGAGTTCGGTGAGCAAGTCCGGGCGAGGTGTCATGCTATAGGTAGCGCCACTATCAATCACCCAATAGTCCAGGGGGTGTAGGGTCCCCTTCCCCACAGCTGCTGGCTCCTCAAAGCCTTCATCCTTCTCTGGACCAGCCGGTACTTGCGTCGACACGAAGTAGAATAGACCCGGGTATCGATCGTCGCTCGGGTCCTTGTCGTTGTCTCCGCTCTTCATGTTTGCAGCTCCGCCACCGCGGCCGCCACGGCCTCCACGGCCTCGTCCTCTCCCTCCTCCTGCTCCTCTACCCTCTTGGCCTTGAGCAGGGGTCCAACCATCAGGGAGTTTGTAGCAGTCGCGCCACATGTGTCCGCTCTTGTGGCAATAGTGACACTCGCCGTCGAATCGGCCGCGACCGCGTCCGTAGCTCTTGTCGTCGCTCCCGTAACCGCCACTCCTGCGGCCTCCGCCGAAGTTGCTGCCACCAAACCTTCCTCCCCCTCGTCCTCTTCCTCTTTCTCGACCATATCCACGGCCGATGCTCGCTGCCCCAGCGCCATCCGCACTCGCCAACTCACGGCGGCGGAAATCCTCTTGAAGGATAGCTCGCTTCACGTCTTCAAGCGAGAGGCGGGGCAAGTCGCGATTAAGGTTGATGATGAGCGAGGACCATGACTCTGGGAGTAAGGCCAGCAACTTGGTCTTCTTTTGGAGCTCACTGTAGTTCAAATCAGCTCCCTCAAGCCGCGTCAACAAGTCGAAGAATTTCTGCACCCCTTCTTCAACCGCTTCGTCTTCTTCAATTCGTAGTGCCGCCATTTGCCGTTCCAACACCACCGCTACCGCCGCTGTTGCAGGAGCATGTACACCCTTGAGAGCAGCCCATGCCTTTGGTCCTTTCTCTGGTTCACGCTGGAATGGCTTGATGTGACGGATCTGACTGCTCCCCAACGCTTGCCCAAGTAAGAGATAGCCTTGTGCGCTCTTCCGCACCCACGGGCTCTTCTCCGGGTCGTTCTCGGGGCGCTTCTCCGTTCCTTCCATCACCTCCAGCAGGTCATAGTGGTCAAAGATGTTCTCCATCTTGAAGGACCATTCAGCAAAGTTGTCACCGTTGAACTTGTCAAGCCCAAACACCCTAGGCTCATCCCTAGGTGGGCCAAGACTTGGTTGCATGGGCGCCATGGCTGAATCACGGGGTTGGCCTTGAGCTTGAGCTTCTCCACTGCCACCAGCACCTCTGCCACCCCTTTCCTCAGGTCCAGACATTGTCGAAACTGCTCCAAGGGGCTCTGATACCACTTGTTATAGTCACAATAGGCTTGAATGTGCCTAAAACGAAAGATAGAGAGCACAGACGGATTTCTGCACAGCGGCTTCAAACGTTGATAGCGTTCTGCTCACAGCTGCAAATGACTTGATTCAAATTGGATCTGGAGCGTCTTCACGTCGTCTACAATTAGAAATTTAGATTGCATGATTTGATAAAGAATTGACGACACAGCGTCGGTTTGAACGAACGGTACTATGGCAGCCACTATAGTCTTAGAACACAAGATAGGAAGAGTTACGAGTTGGGAATGACTCCCAGCTCCTACAAACCCCAAGAGCCGAGGTACAGTGATATGGAACAGTGCCACACTGTCCCCAACCACGAAGGGTCTCGAAACTACCCTTCACTAGGGCCTACACCAAGTGAAATGTTACACTACACAAAGTAATGTAACTATCTTCAATATCTTGAGGTGTGCCCTTTTTGGCGAGCTTCGAAATCACTTGAGGCTTGACACCAAGGCTCGGGCTCTTCATCACAAACTCATCCTTGAGTTCTTGATGGGTCTGCTGCACACACCTGCGACACGCCGAACGTTCGACACAGGACAAAATAGAAACCGCGCACGACAAAATAGAAACCGCGCGCGAGACACAAACGACCGCGTAACACGCGTCTAGCGATAACTCGCTATTGACTCGACACACACACTCGACATCATGACTCAACATTCACACACAATTATAAGCATGAAATATATATTATCCCATGCCCTCATACCATTCCATACACACACACATTCACGCACACGGACAACAAGCCGAGTGCAAACCGTAGGGTTGCACCAACATCTACATCGATCCCGTCTGCGGTTAGAATGAGGTCGCGTCGAACCGTCGGCTCGTTCACGACGGGTAGGGAGGCGGGGCTCGTAGCCATAACAGGCCTAGCAGTAGGGAGGGCGGGAGCGCAGGGAAGTTGGGAACTAGGGAGTAGGGAAGAAAAACTCGGAGACTGCAACGAAATGAGAACGATCTCTGGGTATTTGCTGTTTGCCATCCCCTCCACCGAGACAGGCTCGGGTGCAAGGGCGACGAAGCAGGGCGCGTTCCGCGACGGCGGTAGGAGGAGCTTATGGCAGATGGCGGCGGGGCCCTATATTACTGGTTGGTTGCATGAGGTGGGGAGCCTAGCATGCAGCTGAAAGGCCCCTCTCAAGGAGCGGGAGGGGGCGTTCTACACATCACCACGGTCGAGCGCCAACCGGAACGGGCCCCGTCGAGGGCGAGAGAGGTGGAGCGCGGCGCAGATGGGCGTCGCTTCCGTCTGCTTGCGAGAATTCGCGGACGGGTTCCGTCGGCGAGGCGACGCCTGGCGAGGGTTCCGTGGGTTACCGGACGGAACCCGTCTACGAACCGAGGGTGGGGTTCGGTTCGGTTGGGGGGGACCACTGCCAGCTCGAGGGCGCGTGTCGTTGGCGTCATTGGCAGCTGGCGCCAGCTGGGGCCAGCTGGGGGTGCCCGCTTCCGGGCGGGGGGGGGGGGGGTCGGCTCCCGCCCCTCGCATGCGCCGCTAGGCGACTGCGGGAAAACGGAAATCCCTCCAGGGAAATCCTGCAGGAAGATATCGGAGGGATTCGCCCGATATCTTCCCCCATATTACCAACCTCCCATAGCGCTTCTCGCGCATCCCGCACATACAAACATCAGCTCATGCTCCCTTCCACGCGTCCATCTATGCAGCAAGCGGCTCGGCTTGCTATTGAATGTCAATGTTCCGGACGGCCTCAACTCAACGATACAGAGTCTCGCAAGAGTTCGGAATTCGGCGACCCGCAAAAGGGAGATGATGCATCGGTTCCGTTTTCCATCTCGATACACTGCCACGTCTCTCACCTAAGGCCGTGTCCGTTGATGCAGCATGCGTCGCACCTCGTGTCGCACTGCGCTTTGAGTCGACTCCGAAGTTGCCATCAAGGCAGCATCATGCATCACAAAGTGCCTCGCCGTGTCGCGTGCGTCCTCCGCGTCTTAAAGCCATGCGTCGTGCGCACACCCAATTTCACGCCCTATTTCTGCAAGGGCCCTAATCATACGCAACAAGCCGCTCTACCATGCTACCTTCCACGCATCTTCTTGTGCCGCAAGAGCAGTGCGGCTTGGCAAATTGTCGAGGTTTCAAGATGCGCTGCGTCTTAGCATGCATGGTTCTCGAGATTTCAGTCTCAAAGTGCACAGCGATCCCACTTGCTGCTGTCTTGAAAGTTACCGATCGATGTGAACGATACTGAAGCGGTTGGGAGGCACTTTGCTCCTTGACCGGATTTCCCGCGCGGCCTGAAACCCTGAGCTTCTTACGGCATGGATCCTGATCAACTTGATCCATCTCATTCAGCCGAGTCTGTTTCTCACAACGAGGCTCGTTCTCCTGTTGGGGATTCTTCAGGCGCGTCTCTGTCTCAAGGCAAGGCTCCTTTTCCCGTTGCTCACAGCAAGGCTTTTCCCGTCGGGAAGAATTCAGCAGAGCGTCTTTCTCACCGCACTGCTCCTCCTCCCCTTGCTTACGCCAAGGCTACTCCTCTTCCGCTTGGGGAATCTGCAGGGAAAGCAGAGACACCAGCACCACCAGCCGCTGCGACTGTTGCTGCGTTTCCAGGCGAAGGGGCCAAAGGAGAGGATTTTCCAGCAGAGTGTCAGTCTCACCGCACTGCTCCTCCTCCCTTTGCTTTCGCCAAGGCTCTTCCTCCTCCTCTTGGGGAATCTGCGTTGAAGGCAGAGAGACCAGCACCACCAGCCGCTGTGACTGTTGCTGCGTTTCCAGGCGAAGGGGCCAAAGGAGAGGATTTTCCAGCAGAGTGTCAGTCTCACCGCACTGCTCCTCCTCCCTTTGCTTTCGCCAAGGCTCTTCCTCCTCCTCTTGGGGAATCTGCGTTGAAGGCAGAGAGACCAGCACCACCAGCCGCTGTGACTGTTGCTGCGTTTCCAGGCGAAGGGGCCAAAGGAGAGGATTTTCCAGCAGAGTGTCAGTCTCACCGCACTGCTCCTCCTCCCTTTGCTTTCGCCAAGGCTCTTCCTCCTCTTGGGGAATCTGCGTTGAAGGCAGAGAGACCAGCACCACCAGCCGCTGTGACTGTTGCTGCGTTTCCAGGCGAAGGGGCCAAAGGAGAGGATTTTCCAGCAGAGTGTCAGTCTCACCGCACTGCTCCTCCTCCCTTTGCTTTCGCCAAGGCTCTTCCTCCTCCTCTTGGGGAATCTGCGTTGAAGGCAGAGAGACCAGCACCACCAGCCGCTGTGACTGTTGCTGCGTTTCCAGGCGAAGGGGCCAAAGGAGAGGATTTTCCAGCAGAGTGTCAGTCTCACCGCACTGCTCCTCCTCCCTTTGCTTTCGCCAAGGCTCTTCCTCCTCCTCTTGGGGAATCTGCGTTGAAGGCAGAGAGACCAGCACCACCAGCCGCTGTGACTGTTGCTGCGTTTCCAGGCGAAGGGGCCAAAGGAGAGGATTTTCCAGCAGAGTGTCAGTCTCACCGCACTGCTCCTCCTCCCTTTGCTTTCGCCAAGGCTCTTCCTCCTCCTCTTGGGGAATCTGCGTTGAAGGCAGAGAGACCAGCACCACCAGCCGCTGCGACTGTTGCTGCGTTTCCAGGCGAAGGGGCCAAAGGAGAGGATTTTCCAGCAGAGTGTCAGTCTCACCGCACTGCTCCTCCTCCCTTTGCTTTCGCCAAGGCTCTTCCTCCTCCTCTTGGGGAATCTGCGTTGAAGGCAGAGAGACCAGCACCACCAGCCGCTGTGACTGTTGCTGCGTTTCCAGGCGAAGGGGCCAAAGGAGAGGATTTTCCAGCAGAGTGTCAGTCTCACCGCACTGCTCCTCCTCCCTTTGCTTTCGCCAAGGCTCTTCCTCCTCCTCTTGGGGAATCTGCGTTGAAGGCAGAGAGACCAGCACCACCAGCCGCTGTGACTGTTGCTGCGTTTCCAGGCGAAGGGGCCAAAGGAGAGGATTTTCCAGCAGAGTGTCAGTCTCACCGCACTGCTCCTCCTCCCTTTGCTTTCGCCAAGGCTCTTCCTCCTCCTCTTGGGGAATCTGCGTTGAAGGCAGAGAGACCAGCACCACCAGCCGCTGCGACTGTTGCTGCGTTTCCAGGCGAAGGGGACGAAGGAGAGGATTTCTGGGAGGTTGGAGAACGCTTTGCAGCTGAGGAATTAAATCAAACTGAAGGGCGTCCGCACACCGAAGAAAGATCACAGTTACGGTCACAGTTGCAGATCAAAGGATACTATTCCCTTGAAACATCCGCTTCAGAGGAGGATTTGGGCGGAGGGGAAGGGCTGGAGGAAATGAAACGAAGGAGAGATGCAAAGGACGCCCGGGGGGTTATGGGTGCGGGTGGGGAAGGAGAGAGAGGAGCGTGGGGAGCGATGGAAAAGGGAGGCGGGGAGGAACCGGGAAGGAAGAGGCAGGAACGGCGTTTGGACACTGGGGCAGCTGCAGCAGCATCAGCAGCACCAGCAGCAGCACCACCGCCAACGCCCCGGGTCAGACGTAAACAAAACCCGCCGCGAGATGAGGCGGGCTTGACGGGGTTTCGTTGGGGCTCACTGCGAGATGACGACTCTCAAGACCAGGTCTTTCCTTCACAGCCGATGAATGCCAGCCAGCGATTCACAACAGGGTTTCAGCAGGCCTCACCTCAAGAGGACTACAAGGAGCAACAGATTCTTTCCACACAGGGTTTTTTTGAATCGACTGGAGATAGGTTTCAGCGCTCCCAGCACGTACTTGCCCACAATTTCGAGGAGCATCGGGTTACCGATGGGGCAAGGCGCGGACCGGGAGGGGGAGGAGGAGCGGGAGGGATGGAAAGTCGCCTGGCCTTACCTCGAGAGGATTACGAGGAGCACCAGATGTCTTCTCCACAGGGGTTTCAGCACTCCCCGCCAATGCTTCCTCACAGTTTCGAGGAGCGCTGGGTTGCAGCGGAAGCAAGGGGCGGAGGAGGAGGGAGGGGGAGAAGTGGGTGGGAATTGCAAGAGGACCATTCAGAGGAGCATGGGGGTAGTGGGAGCATGTGGAACGAGTTTTGGTGGCGTATGGGAAGATTCTTGGGGAGTTTGTTTCGGTTCCCTGGTAACACTCACAGGAGGAGGGAGCAGCAGGATGTCATGAGGTTTGGAGGGGGAGAGCTCAGGAGGGGTGACGCAGCAGCAGGGGCTTCTAGGTTCGACCTGTCTCTCCCCCCTTATACCATGCACCAGTCGCAGACGAATCTTTTCTTTGACACGGCTGCATTTGCAGTCTCTCCTCCTCCTGCCCATGTCACTGCAAGCAGCAAGACTCCTCCTAGTCTCTCTCACCCGGCTAGCACTCACTCGCCCTCTGCTCGTGCGTCTGGTTGCCGTCGAGTGCTGGTGGTGCATCGGGGGGATATCACCAAGTGGTGTGTGGACGGTGCAAGTGATGTCGTTGTGAGTCGTGAAGTGGGCGAGTGTCATGGGTATGGCACAGTAGACTGGTGTGGCCTGTGCACCTTAGGGTGCTGGTGGTGCATCGGGGGGATATCACCAAGTGGTGTGTGGACGGTGCAAGTGATGTCGTTGTGAGTCGTGAAGAGGGCGAGTGTCATGGGTATGGCACAGTAGACTGGTGTGGCCTGTGCACCTTAGGGTGCTGGTGGTGCATCGGGGGGATATCACCAAGTGGTGTGTGGACGGTGCAAGTGATGTCGTTGTGAGTCGTGAAGTGGGCGAGTGTCATGGGTATGGCACAGTAGACTGGTGTGGCCTGTGCACCTTAGGGTGCTGGTGGTGCATCGGGGGGATATCACCAAGTGGTGTGTGGACGGTGCAAGTGATGTCGTTGTGAGTCGTGAAGAGGGCGAGTGTCATGGGTATGGCACAGTAGACTGGTGTGGCCTGTGCACCTTAGGGTGCTGGTGGTGCATCGGGGGGATATCACCAAGTGGTGTGTGGACGGTGCAAGTGATGTCGTTGTGAGTCGTAAAGAGGTCTGCTTGTAGCCAGGTGCGGTGCAGGTAATTGGGTGAGGCCCTTGTGGTTTGGTGAGTTTTGCTGCTGCTATGGCACTCTTTGGTGGTGCATCGGGGGGATATCACCAAGTGGTGTGTGGACGGCGCAAGCGATGCCATTGTGACTGACTGTAGCCAGGTGCGGTGCAGGTAAAATTGGGTGAGAGGGACTTGTGGTTTGGGAAGTTTTGCACTTGCTTCTGCTGGTCGCCTGCTAATTGTCTGCTGGTCGCCTGCTAATTGTCTGCTGGTCGCCTGCTAATTGTCTGCTGGTCGCCTGCTAATTGTCTGCTGGTCGCCTGCTAATTGTCTGCTGGTCGCCTGCTAATTGTCTGCTGGTCGCCTGCGAATTGTCTGCTGGTCGCCTGCGAATTGTCTGCTGGTCGCCTGCGAATTGTCTGCTGGTCGCCTGCTAATTGTCTGCTGGTCGCCTGCTAATTGTCTGCTGGTCGCCTGCTAATTGTCTGCTGGTCGCCTGCTAATTGTCTGCTGGTCGCCCTTCCCTCCCCGCGCCACCCACCCATCCTCCCTGTGTTCCCCCCACGCAGGTGAATGCGGCAAACGAGTCGGTGCTTGGTGGGGGCGGGATGGATGGAGGTAAGCGGCAAGGGGGAGAGGGTAAGAGGCAATGCGAGCCTGGTCTCTGCTTCGAGCCTGACAGGTTCAAAGTTGCCCTTCCTCCCTGTGTCACCTGCCTTCTCCCTGTCCCACGCAGGTGAATGCGGCAAACGAGTCTTTGCTTGGTGGGGGCGGGGTGGATGGAGGTGAGTTACTAGGGAGGGAGAGAGGGTAGAGGGGAAGTGAGCCTGGACTCTGGGTTCGAGCCTGGAAAGCTGGGCTGTTGGACTAGTGAGGCTTGGCAAAGTCAGGCTGACTTTCGTCTTGTCATGCTTCTTCAACCCTACCTGCCCTTGCATTCCCCACTTCTGCTCCTTCCTCTGATCTTCGCTTCTCTCTCCGCCCTCCAGCCATCACTGGGCGGTTGGCTCAATCCTCCTGAAAATCTCCCACGACCTGCCCTTCTCTCCCCTCTCCCTCTCCGTCTCCCTTTCATTTCCATGCTTTCCCTGCTCCCTCTCCCTTTGATTCACCTCTCTCCGCCCTCCAGCCATCCACAGGGCGGTTGGCTCAATCCTCCTGAAACTCTCCCACGACCTGCCCTTCTCTCCCCTCTCCCTCTCCGTCTCCCTTTCATTTCCATGCTTTCCCTGCTCCGTCTCCCTTTGATTCACCTCTCTCCGCCCTCCAGCCATCCACTGGGCGGTTGGCTCAATCCTCCTGAAACTCTCCCACGACCTGCCCTCTGATCCCGCTTCCTCTACTCCTTTTTCTCCCAACCATGCTGCTAATTCCTCACTCTGCCGCTGATTTCTCATCCTCCTGCTGATCCTTCATGCTCCCATTGATCTTCCCCTCTCCTCACCTTCCTCTAGCAATCCACAGGGCGGAAGGCCCAGCCCTCCTGAGGCTCTGCCGTGATCTGCTCTGCTCTCTCTTCCGTTCATCTCCCTTCATTCTCTGCTCTCTCCCCCCGCCCATCAGCCATCCACAGGGCAGCAGGCCCAGCCCTCCTGAGGCTCTGCCGTGATCTGCTCTGCTCTCTCTTCCGTTCATCTCCCTTCATTCTCTGCTCTCTCCCCCCGCCCATCAGCCATCCACAGGGCAGCAGGCCCAGCCCTCCTGAGGCTCTGCCGTGATCTGCTCTGCTCTCTCTTCCGTTCATCTCCCTTCATTCTCTGCTCTCTCCCCCCGCCCATCAGCCATCCACAGGGCAGCAGGCCCAGCTCTCCTGAAGCTCTGCCATGATCTGCCCATGCTGAGGAATGGCGATCGCTGCAACACAGGGGATGCAGTGACCACAGGGTGAGTGACTGTAACGAGTAAGTAAGGGTGGTGGCATGCGTTAGCATGGGTGACTGTAGAATTAGGCTTTCTGGAAGCGCTTCTACGATTTTCCATAGATGAGGATTAATTTTAGGCCAGCGTATAACAAGTGCCATAGCTCAGGCTCACCTGGAAAAGGCGTTGACGCTGTTCGGTGGGGCTCAGCTCAGGCACCTTCTTCATGGCACTTGTTTCGCTGATTTTTGAGTATTTTTTAGGCGCCTCAAAAATCGTCTCAGGCACCTTCTTCATGGCACTTGATGCTGTGCAGTGGGGCTGCAAACTCACTCTCAAATTCTCGAGTCTGCCAGTGGCCTCAAAAATAGTCTCCTCAGGCACCTCCTTCATGGCACTGCAAACTCACTCTCGAATTCTCAGGTCTGCCAGTGACCTCTCTCCTTTCTCCTCTGTCTCATCTCTGCACTCATCTCTGCACTCATCTCTGCACCCACCACATATTCACTTCACTTGCAGGGCCGCAGGGCTGCCAGTGCGCTATGAGATCCATGCAGTGGGGCCCGTGTACTGGTCCGACAGAGTGCAATCACCCGTGTTGAAAGCTGCTCTTCCCTCCTGTCTCTGCACCCACCACATGTTCATCTTCACCTTGCAGTGCTGCCTGGCTGCCAGTGCGCTATGTGATTCACGTGGTCGGGACCAGTGTACCTGACCGACAGAGAGTCAGCACCCGTGCTGAAAGCTGCTCTTCTCCCTGTCTCTGCACCCACCACATGCTCACGCACCCCTGCAGGGCTGCCAGGCTGCCAGTGCGCTATGTGATCCATGCAGTGGGGCCTGTTTACTGGTCTGACAGAGAGTCAGCACCCGTGCTAAAAGAGGCATACAGGTGTGTGCTGTGCGGTGCTGCGGGGTCTTGTGCGGTGCTGTGCAGTGTGGTGCTGACCTTTCTCAGGGGCACCCTTATGGTAGGTGCGCTGGGTGATCCATGCGGTGGGGCCAGTGTACTAGTCTGATAGAGAGTCAGCCCCCGTGCTGAGAGCAGCCTACAGGTGTGTGCATTGCGGTGCGTCTCTCTGTGCTGGACGTTCAAGGGAGCATTCTTCCTTAAGCCTAATGGTTTGCCTTAAGCCTAATGGTTTGCCTTAAGCCTAATGGTTTGCCTTAAGCCTAATGGTTTGCCTTGCAGCACATTCCCATCCGTGTGCGCACAGAATCACACTCACACTCACTCATGCAAGCACCAGCCAACCCACTGACCTGCCCATCCTCGCACCACCCGTCTGTCTGTCTGTCCTATTCATCTATTTACCACCTTCCACAGAAGCATTCTAAGGGAGGCCAGCAATTGTGGTGTCAAATACATCGCCATCCCTGCAATATCGTGCGGCATATTCGGGTACACTCCGTCCCCTATGCACGCTTATGCATTAATCTGTCATTTGCATGAACACTCCACTCCTGACGCGCTTGAAATTATCGTATCCATCTTGCATGACTCGCAGATATCTAATGTTTTTTTCAATCAGTCGTACAACTTTGTTTCTTGCCTTTATTTATATCCTCCGCTTTTTCCCTCCTCGCTCCTCTTATAAGATACCCCCCTATGAAGGGTGCCCAAGCCGCCCTTGAAGTTCTGCTAAACCAACCGTGGGGGTCAGTGCAAGAGGTATGCACTCACATGAGGTTCTTACACTTTGAGTGCGCAGAAGGTGCGTAAAGTACGTACTCGCCCCTCCTGCGAACAGGTGCACTTGGTGTATTTGACCCGTGGATTCTGAACGTACGACTTTCTCACTCGCAATTTCCCCACCACAGGTGCACTTTATACTGTTCGACCAGTGGATGCTCAACGTATGGTTGAATGCCATCCATGCCGCCAACCTGCCACAGCTGCTGCTGCATAAGCCACCACAGTTGGCCTATCAGACGCCTCTGCTGCCGGAAGGAGGAGAAGCAGAAAGAACAGCACGAAAGGAGGAGCATGAGCAACCGCAGGAAGCACAGCAGCTGTCCCAACAGACACAGAATTGTGCAGAGCTGGTCGGAGAGGAATGGGCATCACCAAAGGCGGCACAAAGGCTGCAGCAGGAGCAGATGCAAATACAGCACCAGCAACAGATGAAGCAACAGCACCAGAAGCAGATGCAGCAACAACACCAGGAGCCGATGGAGCAACAGCACCAGGAGCAGATGCAGGAACAACACCAGAAGCAGATGCAGCAACAGCACCAGGAACAGATGCAGCAACAGCACCAAAAGCAGATGCAGCAACAGCACCAGAAGGAGATGCAACAACAGTACCAGGAGTAGATGCAGGAACAGCACCAGACGCAGATGCAGCAACAGCACCAGAAGGAGATGCAGCAATAGCACCAGAAGGAGATGCAGCAACAGCACCAGGAGCAGATGCAGGAACAACACCAGAAGCAGATGCAGCAACAGCACCAGGAACAGATGCAGCAACAGCACCAAAAGCAGATGCAGCAACAGCACCAGAAGGAGATGCAACAACAGTACCAGGAGTAGATGCAGGAACAGCACCAGACGCAGATGCAGCAACAGCACCAGAAGGAGATGCAGCAACAGCACCAGAAGGAGATGCAGCAACAGCACCAGGAGCAGATGCAGGAACAGCACCAGGAGCAGATGCAGCAACAGCACCATGAGCAACCGCAGATGTCACAGCTGCATCTGCCCTAGCAAGGCCATGAGCATGCACAGGTGGTTGTAGAGGAGCAGATATCACAAACAGCGGCACAACAGCCGCAACAGCAACAGGAGCAGACGCAGATGCGGCAGGAGCAGCAGAGGCTGCCTCATACGCCACAGCAGCAGCTGCCCCGGCAGGGCCATGATCATGCACAGGTGGTTGAGGAGGAAGCTGCGAAGGAGGCACGACAGCTGCAGCAGCGGCAACAGGATCTGCAGCAGCAGCTACCCTGGCAGGGAAATGAGCATGCTCAGCTGGAGAAGGAAGTTGCAAAGCAAGCACGACGGCTGCAACAGCAGCAACAGGTGCAGCAGCTTCAGAAGCTACAGCAGCAGCAAGAGGAGCTGGAGCTTTGGAAGCAGCAGAAGCAGCAGCAACAGCAGAAGGCAGAGCAGCCGCGGGAAAGGAGACAGAAGCAGCCAGAAACGACAGCAGCAGCCGCTGCCCGCGAGGCCAGAAACGACAGGCCTCGCGCTGCCAATCCTAGCCCAGGCATGTTGCTGGATGATGGGGTTGGGCTGAATATGCAAGAGAGGGGAGCGAATGAGAAGAAGGGTGGGGGTGTGAAAAGCAGGAAACGACATATATTTTCCTTCAGTAAAGGATAGAAAAAAAAAAAGGTCTTGCTCTGAGCACACTGCAAACGAGTGGGATGAGCGGCATTTATAGGAGCGGGGGGATTTTATGAGAGTAGGAGAAAAAAGACACGAGGGCTGTTGGGGATGGCATTGGAGGACGGGGAGAAACCCGCCCCCCTTGACGTGTGTAGGGTCCCTCTGGCTGTATCTCCGGCTGTAGCTACAGCGGATGTACCTGAAGCAGCACCAGCACCAGCACCAGCAGCAGCACTAGCACCACCACCGCCACCACCACGACCACCACCACCTCCATTTCCACTGGCAACAGAACCAGAATCGGCACCAGCACCAGCACCAGCACGGCCAGTGCACACAAAAGACAGGAACAGCAACAGCACCACTACTGCTATCATTCACCATTGTAAATAGCTGTTGTATCCAGGGCCCTAGATATCAGACTTTAAAGTCTGATTCAGAGTCCGTTCAGACTTCTTTTTTTTACCTAGTCTGAAATCTAAGAATTTTTTTATGTACCTTGTCTGATTTTTCAGAGGTTTTTTTTATGACTTGTCTGAAATTTCAGCCT